TAATTGTTAATTGGCCATGGAAGCGTAGATAAAGGACCTACATTTTATTGCAAGGAATACGGACAAAGGCTTACATGGAAAAGCTGACACTAGAGCTGGAAGGCTGGGTAGGATTTCCACAGACAGAAACAGGGGATGGTGCAGGTAGCTTCAGTTTTCTCATCTGTAAATTCAGGCCATCCTCATAACTACCCTATAGGATGGATTTACACTGACCTGCAGAGGGGTTACATGATTTTCCCCACGTTATAACGCTAGAAAGAAATAGAGTCAGGATTTGAGGCCAGGTCTCTCTGATTCCAAAGCATGAAGAGGGGAAGCTGTTTCTGTCCTCTTTGATTTTCTTAAGGCTATTTGGGTTGCAAGGAATAAAAACTCATTTTAGAGAAGCTGAAGTAAAAGGGGAAATTATTACAAAGCTGAAGTAAAAGGGGACATTATTGCAAGTAAAAGGGGAAATTATTGCAAACCCAGGAGCAGGGAGGGCAGTGGGACTCGGAGGGTGCTGGAACTCATACTGCCTCCATTCTTATGCTCCTTGGGAAAGTCACCATGACTTATTTATCTTTTTGCTCTGGCTTGAAGATATTCCATGAAGTATTTCTATCTTTGCACCAAATTCTGTCTTAAGGGGTAGATACTGTAGAATGTATCTTCTCCACCTCCCTCCTATTCTGTAAGCTAGGAAAGATATATATCAATTATCTATATCCTCCCACCCCACCCAGCACAAGCATGGATATTGCAGGTGCTGCAATAAAATACCTGTTCGCTACAAAGAAGAAATTGAGGCCCAACTCTTCCAGTTTCCACAGTGTCAGGGTCCTGTGGGGAGCTGCCGCCTGGGCAGCTCAGCCTGCGGGTCTCTCTCTAGCAGAGCACCCTCCCCAACAACCAGAATTCATACTTTGCTGGCTAGGGCACAGGGCAGGCTGCAAGTCAAAGGCAAACTGCTTGCTCCTAACTTCATCTTGCTGATTAAGCCTGACTTTGGGTCTCCCAATATTTTCCTTGTCCCAAAGATAAGAGATGATTTTGGGGCAGCCTGCCCAGCCCACATGACCACTTTTCTCTGAGAGTTGCCCATAGTGGTAGAGCCCTAGAAACCATGTTTGCTGGTTGCCCCACCCCTGGCCATCAAAAACTGGACCATGCAGACACCTGACCCACACTGGGCCACTCAGGTCTTCTCTCTTTTGAAAGGTGGTATGAGTTCCAGCACCCTCCAAGCCCCACTGCCCTCCCTGTTCCTGGGTTTCATGAGCTACCCTGTAGCTTTGTAGTAATTTCCCCTTTTACTTCAGCTTCTCTAAAATGAGTTTTTATTCCTTGCAACCCAAATAGCCTTAAGAAAACCAAAGAGGACAGAGACAGCTTCCCCTCAGAAATCCCTCTCCTCATCCCCAGGCAGAACTAACCACATCTCCCCCGCTACTCGGTGAAACTTCATCTGTTCCTCCTGGTAAGCCCGTGGCATTTCTGAATCAAGAGCCTCCTGCACGTCTAGCACATGGTCAGGCACCGGGTTGGGTGCTTTTTCATTGATTCACACAGCTGTGGGAGGGAGGGAGCTTTTACTACGACCATTCTACAGATAAGGCAGCAGGAGCTCTGGGTGGCTAAGCCCTATGTCCCAGGTCACTTAGCTACAAAGAAGCAGAGTAGGGATTGGACCCAGGTCGTCTTCTCTTTACCAGTTTTGGCCAGCTCACAATCATGTGCTCACATGCCTGTCCCCAACCTCAATTCGTATGCTCCTTGGGAGAGTCACCATGACTTATTTACCTTTTTGCTCTGGCATGAAGATATTCTGTACTCAGCAACTGAATTGAATTTGTGATTTAAACAGAAACTTACTAGAAATCTCATCGGGGAGGGCGTTCTGTGTTTTCTTACATTCTATATTTGTCTACTTGGCATCCATTCATCAGAGGGCCAATTGTATTAACTATATTTTCTTATGTTTTGTATCCTCTATGCTCTGGTATCTGTGGCCTCACTGAATGAGGAGTTAGCAAAGGAGCATGCCTGCCATATGCTAACAGACCAGTCCAGGGCCTACACCTACAGCCATCTCCTTCATCAAACTCTCAAGGTATCAGACAACCCAGAATTATTCAAATTAGTCAATCCTGAACTGTGTGCCTTGTCCTGCCTTGCCTTTCCCATGGAAACACAATAAAGGCTCTGGTCTAGGCTCTCCTCTCACTTCCTCTGCTCCTGGCCTGATCAACCTTGGTGCTACGAGCGTGGCCATTGGTGGCATGGCGTGCCCCACCCTCTCAGGAAATGTAGGTAATAAAATCTCCTTCAATGGCCTTAGCTGTATATGCTGTCACTCTGTCATCTCCATAAATTAAGACTTCGGCACAATTCAGAGAGAATAGCTTCTATCATGACATCATAAATGCTGTAGACTCTGAATATCAAAAAGCAGAATGGAATGTTCTGGTTGCTTCACAGAATGAAAGCACTCAGCACCTTCAAGCTGTAAGCCCCTGGTGTTGCTCACTCAGGCCAATCAAGGGCTCCTGAAACTCCTCCAAAGTCAGGACTGTGCCACTATCAATGTGTTTTCTGACTGGACAGGAAGCTGGTTACCCCCGAGGGGAGGGAAGTGGCTAGCAGGGGACACGGGAGACTTTGGGTTACTAGTGATATTCTGTTTCTTGATTTGGGTACTAGTTACATGTGTGTACTCTAATAATTAAAATTTAACATCTAGTGCTTATGATTTGTACACTTTTCTATACTATACTGTGCTATACTTCGAGAAAAAGGTTAATTAAGAAAAATTTTTTCTGATTTAAAACCCTGCTCTATGTTGAATGATGCACCGTGAAGCACAGGGGCACCTATAAATACGGAACAGCAACACTGCCCGCTTGAGAAGACTTTGTTTTGCTCACTTTGAATATCAGTGATGACTAAGACGTGGAGGCCTGAGATCCTGATTTCTCAGGATGATAGAGTGGGGGGTGGAGAAGGAAACTTAGTAGATCTTCTGGTCTAGACATTCCCACACCTGGCTGTTTGTCTGATTATCTGGAGAGGTTTTATGAAATGCAGACCTGGTGTCTCGCCTAGATGTGCTAACACACAATTTGCAAGGGATTTGAGATGAAGGGGTTAAAGGGTGAAGGCAGGGAGAGGTGCGTCCAAGGCCTAGAAATCTGTATATTTCAGAACTCCCCAGGTATTTTGGGAGATAAGCTAGGATTGGGGACCATCCATGAATTCTACCCTTTCGTTTTACAGAGACAGAAAGGGAGGCAGAGAGAAGGAAAGAGACTTGCCCAAGATCACACAGCCAGGGGTGACAGAGCTGGGCCAAGAACCCAGGTTTCCCAATTCTTTTGTCTGATACTCTTCCTATCATAGCCCTAGAAGAATATGGTAGCCACATAGGGAGGGGAAACAACAGGCTTTCATGGACAGAAGATCAAGGACCAAGATGCTAATGATGAGAACATGTCATCTTGGCCCTGAAACTGATCCGACTACGGACATGAGCTACGAGGTCCTCCTTGGTAAGGCAGAGTCTTCTGTGAACGTCAGAGTCAATCCTTGCTCTAGTACGAGTCTAATTCCAGACAAATTTTCATAATTTCCCTACATGTTTAGTCTGCCTGGGTGGTCAGATGGAACTACAATGATGAAAGCTGCTTTTATCCCCAGTGGGGTGTGGTGGTGTAGGGTGAGCACAGGCTGAGGAGCTAGTGCAGGGGGAGGCAGGGCAGTGCAGTGGTTAGGAGCACGGGTCCCATGGGCAATGTGACCTGGATGTAAATTCTGGTTGCGCAACTTACTAGCCATCACAGAACCTCTCTGTGCCTCAGTTTCCTCATCTCTACGCTGGGGATAAAGACGGGAATGGCATGCACTTGAGAAACACTGGCCATTATGTGTGAGTCATTGTTCTAAGTGCTTCCGAAGTCATTTAATCCTCACAACCACTAGGAGGTAGGTACTATTATTATCCTATTTTACGGATGAGGAAATCTGTACCTACTTTAGAGTGCTACTGTGAAGGTTATCTGAGAAAAGGCATGTGAAGAACTTAGCACGGTAGCTGGGACTGAATAAGTGCTTAAGAAATATTAGTCATTGTTGTTATCATAATTATTATCTAGAACGAGTAATGGTTCTAGCTCTGCCTCTCAACTTGCTCCATGATCTTAAGTATGTCTCTTCTCACCTCTCAGCCTCACTTTCCCAACTCACAAAATAAGAGGGTTTCATGAGATGACCTCTAAGGTTTCCTTTAGCACTAGGATATGAGGAGTCTCTGACTGAGCCATAAAAAATGATTTTCAATAGAAAATCCAAGCCTTCAGATGCTGCACTGATAAGTATTTAGAAACAATTAGACATTAAAACCCCTAAAGGTTCATTCCCTTTGATCTGTTCATTATACCTATAGGACTATATCAAAGGAAATTATCAGAGATGAGCACAAAGATTTGCACTCTGGGATGTCATTGATTACAGCCACCCCAGATTAGAAACAACCTGAATATCCAACAAGGGACCTGTTGAGCAAATTTTGATACAGCAGCTCAGCGGATGATTGGGCAATCATTCAAAAAGCACGCTTTCAATCACTGCTCAATGACATGGGGAAACACTTCACAAGTTGGGTTAACTGAAACAACTAAGATACAAAACTTTACGTACAACATGACTTCAAATTTGTAATACCAGAAAAAGACAAGAAGGACATATACTGAAATATGAACAGAGATTGTCTCCAATAATGGAATAAGTGATTTTTAAAGAATTGAATCTTCTAAGTGATCAATTAAAAAATGGAATCTCCTAATTTTATGTATTTTAACGAGCATTTCTTTTGATTACATATTTCCCTGTACGTGTGGAGGGCCTGCCCGTTTCTGCCAGTGACAGGCACGCACACCCTGGACGTATCTTTTAGCCAACGTGGCAGTGTGTTACTTTCTTGTTAGAAAAATACGAAATTCCAAAACCAAAAAAGCCCTTGCCTTGTAGGAGAAGGAGCCCTCGCTCGTGGAGCTGGCGCTGCTGGTGGGCGGGAGCTGCTGCAGCTGCAGGGTGGCGCTGTGGGCTCCGTCCATGGTGGCCTAGTGGCACATCCCCACCGGCCAGCTGAGGAATTGCAGCTGCTGCTAAGCGGGGCCCAGGCCAGAAGCCATCTCTCCTCGTGGGGTTCACCTGCCTCCAGCAGCCATCTCTGCTCCCTCGCGCTGAAGGAGCACTTGGAGCCTCTTCTGGCTGATTTACAGCCTTTTCCTCAGCTTCACTCAGAAAGTGCCAACTTCTGTGTCTCTCCCAAGCAGGCAGACAGGGGTGGGTTTTCCGATTCTGGCGGTGCTCTAGGATGGTGGAGAGGAACGTTAAAAATGCATGAACAAAGAAACATGGAGCCCAGCTTTATTACCCGAGAAGAGAATACTATTAGGATAAAACACAACTGGCCATGAGAAGTGAGGCCATCTAAAAAACTCCATCATGCCTTTGGCCCCCTTAATAAAGACATGACTCATCTACCTCAAAAGCTTCCTCCCTGTCCCTTAGACATGCCCCTTCCTCTCCCACTCTGCTTCCTTGCTCCCATCATTCCCTACTTTAAATCCTCCTTTTATCCATGGGCTCTCAACACAAGAAGTAAAATACTACCTAAGTCTACTTCTCCAGGCCTCCAAAACAAAACAAAACAAACAAAAAACCCCACTACCATAAAAAGGGAACCACTGGGTTTCAACTTAGGAAGGAAAGAATGAGAAGAAAAGTTATCTCCATGGAAGATAGAAGAACTGGCCTGCCATCGAGGGTCAGCCTGACACAGGTGAGGTGACACAGGGGGTGGAAAACTTGTGTGACCAGATCACTTTGCCTCTCCGAGATTTAGCTACTTCATCTGTGAAGTGGGGTTAATAATGTGGCATCAAAACCAGCACGATGATAATCCCTGTTAACTTCGCTGGACGTATATTTTCAGCGCTTCTCAAACATTTCCTACCAAACAGAAAAGAAAGAGAAAGTGCCTCCCTTCCGTCCCAGGAGGCATGGCCAAAAACCTGCCACCAGTGCTAAGGGTTTCTTTGAGGTCTTCTTATAATAAAAGAAAAAAATTGTATTCTGATGTATAGTCTACATTTATTTTAATATAAAAATGTTTTACATTGCTTTTGATCTGCCATGTACTGCCTATTTCACCTTGGCCAGGTCATTTAACTTTTCAGCCAGTTCCCCCAGCTGTAAAATACAAATGACAATGTTTGTACAACACAGGACTGTTGTCAGAATTAGATGAAATAATGTATGCAAAATGCTGGCACAGCAAATTAAGGTCAATGAATGTCAGCTATTATTAGTATTGACTGTATTTTCACCTGTTTAATTTACGCATGCATATTTCTTTCTTTCTCTTATTCATTCAACAAATATTTATGGAGGGCTCACTGTGTGCCAAACAGACACAATCTCTGTCATGTCCTGAGGCTTCAAAAAGCTGCCTCCTGTCTATCCTGTAGCTTCCAATTCCTTCTGCTATCAGGCCCCAGGCCTAGGAATTCTGGTTCCGGTATGAATAGCACATGCATATGTCACAGGGCAAACACCATGTCCACCACTAAGAGACGCCAGATGCAGGCTTAGCACAGGGGCAGCCATGGAGACCATTTGGCCCAGGTTTCACTTTGTCAAAGGGTCTCAAAATTAAATGATTGCTGCTACCTCCAGATGGATTTGTACATTCAGTATACACACATGAGACGTATGCACTCATCAGGTAACTCACATCCCACAATTATCCTTCACTATACTTTGGTGTGTGTGAAAAGCATTATCTGTGTTAAATTTCTGTATCCCAGTTTCAGCATTTTTAATATAATGAGAGCCTTAAGAGCGGCCAGGGCTCTTTCTACCTCTGAGAGGCCCTAGGAAGCATTCAACTGGTAGTTGAACTCCAGTGAGGTGCTTGCTGAATCCCGTTCTGTCGCTCCCTCCTGACCTCTAGCCCAGAGCCCCGCACAGTGACTGCCCCTCACTGCCGTACTTCCCTACCGACTGACCAAACGCAGGCCTGTGAGGCACCAGGTGCGCTGTGGCCACTTCGCAGTCAAGAATGTCTTACTCAGGCCTCATCAACCACAGCTCCAGAGCTACAACAAACAGATACCCAGCTCCACCCTTAGAAGGTCAGAGAAAACAAACAGGCCTTGGGAACACACCAAGGGGGTGGGGGGAATCCAGGCCTCCTGACCTCCTTTAGACCAGCTGGTTTGTCCAGGTGGTTTTCTGGTTTTGCTTTTGTTTGTGGTGGTTAGCATTGCTGTGGTTTAATGTGCTGTTGAAAAGCAGTTTCCCCATCTGCCTCCGGAACCCCAGGCCTCTGAGGCATGCCTGCAAAGATAGAAAACTCTCCCTCAGCTGGGTGGGAGTTTGGAGTGAAAGGCTAGGACAAACCCTTTGCAAGTTGTACTCCCTTAAAAGGCACACATTCTTTGCCCGGTGACACTCTTTTCCTGATTTCAAAGCACTTTTCCAGGACTAATTTATGTCCAAGAGGCAAGTAGTCAACTCTGTGTTGGCAGCCACCCCACAGAGACACGGTCACTGATCCAAGAAAGGAGGAGAATTCATTAGATACTTGCTTCCACTCCCACCCCCACCCTTATTTCCATTAATTATTTCACCAGTCCCACAGGGCATGTTTTACAGATGAGAGAACCGTGGCTTATGGCCACTAAGGGTAGGGTCTGTATTAGAATTTAGCTCTACCTGAACAACAACAACAAAAACATGCTCTTTCCCACCACCTGACGATTCGGCTTCTAGCATTGAGTGCCGGTCACATGCCAATCTTTCTGTTTCTAGGCTTTGGCTCACGAAAGGGTTACACACTTCCGTCCCCTCCCATTGAGTTGGAAACACTGCACTGGAGGAGACAGTAGCTCTGTTCCAGCAGCCAGCGCAGACTAAGAACGCCTCCCCTCATCCCAACTGCTAACTCCACCACCTGCTACTGCCAGGAAACCCGAGCAGGCATGCAGAGGAGTAATTTTGGCAAAGTGGCTCCATTTCACTTCCTGGTTTGGTAAAGCCGGGCATCACCTTTATTAAGGCAATCCCATGGCCCCTATCCTCTCACCCTCGATTCAAAAATGGAAAGAACATCCTGAGGCAGCGGGACCCAAACTAACAAGGCTGGTGACAGCAAGAAGGTAGGGTATTCATGCTAGGGGACATCAAATGATTACAAACGCAATCGCTCTTCCTGAAAAAAACGAAGGCTAAATTTCCCCCAGTCTTAATTACTACTCACCGGCGGCGTCTCCTCTGAGGTTCACTTATCAGAGGTTTCCGAGAAATGACCGGGACGCTCCGCGCAACCCGGAGGCACAGCCTCCTTAATTCCTTCCCAACTCGGGGCTGCCAGGGTGCTGCAGTGTTTTGCTTTCCGAGGCCGCGATTTGATTTGTCAGGCCGCCTGCCAGTCAGAAGCTATAGGCATTTCGCGCAGGCGGGTGGCTGCGAGGAGGGAGTGGGCGGGACAGCCCCCGGCTACTGGCCGCGCCGTAAAGCTTGCTTGCAGCGTAGAGGAGCAACCTGGGGACCGAGCCGGCGCTCACCTGAAGGGGTCCCCTCTAGCGGCCACAGGAGGAACCTTGCAGCAAGCCCCCCTCCCCCTCTCCGGCTGTCCTAGAGAGCTCAGGTGATTCCTTACCTCCAGCTGCCCGACAGGTGGGCTCGGCTTCAGCCGCCTGCCAACGTCCTCCCTTGTTATCCTCATAGCCGCCTCCCGGGCTTTGGTCCTGCTTTCCCCGCACCCCATGCTCTCACCACATATTCAAGTCCTAAACGGCATTTAAGACCCAGTTCACCCCAAAGCTCTCGCAAGTACTCGCGGCCATACCTTTCCTGCCCTCCCGGAACACCTGTTGGCTGTGCTGTGTACCAAACCTCCCAGCAGTCGCGAAGGTCCTGCCATAATGGACAGCTGTAATAATTAACATGTGTTTGGAGCTTTACAGATGCCAACAAGCTTTTCATCATTTTCATGTGCACGCACGTCCTTTCAGAGCCTCACAGCAACGAGTGAGACCTGGAGCCATGCCGGCTTTACAGATGATAAAACGTCCTGTGGGCCGAGGCCTCAACAATGAGGAGGCGCTTATGGGTTCAGGTCCTGGGGCGGAGGGAACTCACAGGGAACACTTGGGAGAGGACCGAGTTGGCATATTGTAGGAACTCCCCAAAGGCCAGCGGGCTAGCAGTGGCTTATAATATTTGGGGGTTTAATCCCAAGTTTAAAGGGGAGCCATTAGAGGGCTTTAAGCAGGGGAGTGACAAAGTCACTGTGACCGCTCTGGAGCGTGCAGGGGAAGCTCAAGGAATACTACGTGGCTGCCCTTGGATAGTTGCCCATTATCAATCTTGTTTTCAGCTGCTATTATAAATAGGGCTTGGATGAATGTCAATTCTCTTAGGTTTTTTTCTCAAAGTAGGATTTTTGAGTGGGCAAAATTACAAGACTTTGGTCTATCACAAGATTTTTGACGAGTCGCCTAAACAAATATCTATTAGTTCTCCCCACGGGTCCTGACGTAATTAATCTGAACCCTCAAATTCTGGTAGCTTCCTGGCGGGCTTTGAAACGCCTCGAAGGATTGGTCAACAACCTTTCACGCTAGAGAAACAGGGGATATCATTGGCTAGAGTTACTTAGCGGCGGACGGAAGGTGGACGCTGGAATGTTAGGCCTGTGGTTGCCATAGCGACGGAGAGGTTGGGCGGGCCGATTCAGCCCTGGGGACTCGACGAGGTAGGGGGTAGTTCCGGTCGGGGAACCGGTCCCTGCGGTCCTGGAAGGAGGACACGGCGCACCCCCTGGGCTGCCCACTGAGACCCCCGGCCTGCGGGCGCGTGCGAAGTTCCCCGGGCGGAGCTAGGGGGTGTCCCGCGGGCGGGAAGAAGCCACTGTGGAAGGTACCCCTCCGTGCTCGGTGCTCCCACATGGCGTGCCTTCTCCGCGGAGCTCCTGTGAGTGGAGTGGGCATCAGAGCCCTCTGCCTCAGCCTCCACGAGTGCACAAGCGGTTGGGGCTCCGGTGCCGCAGTGGGTGAACGGTAAAGAGCTGAACTCTAGGACTAGGTCCACCCCAACACTTTGGGTGTCCCTCAGCAAGCGTCCTCCCTGTGCTGGGCCTCCATTTACCCATCTGTAAAATGAAAGGGTGAGATTGGAATCTAGCGGTCACTAGCCGGCCACTAAGTTTCTTCCAGTTCTCTGACATACTTTCTCAGCCTATGAAAAATATCTAATGGGTTATTTACCTGACAGTGCTTTGAAAAATGTAAACTGTTTCCAAGATGTCTGATAGCATTATAACTGAATTGATTAAAATCACCTGTACTCAAAACTGCTGACACAAACCCCTTAAAATTCCACATAAAGTAACAGTATACATGGGTTAGTATATATTGATATACCATGTACAGTAATATGTATAAATATATAAAATATATGATAATACTGTAGCATATATAACATTTAAAAAAAAATAGAGATGGTAGAATGAAAGCATGCCTACAGTTGTAATCATGTGAGTTAAATACTTACAGAATCTAGCTCCTAAAGGAAAGAATTGTATTAAGAGCCCTTCTATACACACTCTTGCTAAAATATGTCTACCTCCAGTATTCATTCATTCCCCAATTACTTATTACACATTCCACAGATATTTATTGAGCAACTACTATATGCCAAGAAAAAGGCTGAAGGTTCAGTGATGACATTCTATTGAGGAAGGTCACAAACAAATAACATAATAAATAGACAATGTAATGTTGGGTAGTGAGGAGTGCTTTGAAAAAGGTAAGGCATGGTAAAGGCCTAGAGAGAGAGCTTCTTAGAAAAGGGGGGTCAGGGAAGTCATCCCCAAGAAGGTTTGAATAGAGACCCAGGTGAAACTAGTGACAGGACCAGAAGATGATGTCCTGTAGAAGGAACCTCCATGCTACAAGGAAGTATTGCAGAAGCCAGTGTGGGGTAGAGGAGTAGTCTTTAGGTGGTAGGATATAACAGCTGCCTTCAAATTCTTGAAGAATAGTAATATTGAACAGCGGCTTTCAAACATTTTGTCTGTGACCCATAGTAAGAAATGCATTTATATTGTGACCCAGCGCGCACACCTGCACATAACAAACTAAAACTTCACAAGAGACTGTAGACTATCGCAGTTTGAAAATCACCAATGTGGAAGAGGAGTCAGACTTATTTTGAGTTGCTTCCAGGGTTAGAATTAGAAGGAATGAAAAAAATTAGAAATAATCAGCTTTGATACAGGAAGGAACCTTCTAGCAGTTAGAAACGACACAACAGTGAACTGCCTCAGGAATTTTCAAATTGTATTCTGGGGAACCTTAGCATTCTGTGAAAATTCATTGCAGTGTCAAATATTTGCTTTATATTTTAGAAACTAATGTAATATCCTAATTTAAAAAAAATAACCATACCCACTCAGGGGTGATAATTGTCAAAATTTAGCATTTTAGCATATCATGTGTGCCTGAGAGGTGATTATAGAGATTCAGACTGAGCAGAAGTCAGACTTCCTGGGTTCAAAGCCTAATTCGACTCTTGATGAGACTTTGGGCAAGTCACTTAACGCCTCCCTCTAAACTTAGTTTTCTCATCTGTAAAATGGTGATAATACCTCACTGGACTATTGTTAGGATTGCATGAAGTATTCTATACACGGCATTCAGGACTGTAAGGGCTCAATAAATGATAGCTATTGTAATATTTTAAGCTGTTAATACAATATCTCTGTGCATATATTAAAACCTAACGTTAGTAAAAGCCTACTGTAGGCCAGGCAGCATTAACTGTTTCATGTGGATCATCATATTAATACTCACAGGCACCCTGAGAGCAGGTACTGTTATCATTCCCATTTTATGGAGGAGGAAATGGGCTCAAAAGGTTAAGTTATTCATCCAAAATCAGAACTATTAGGCAGCAGGGCATAACCTTAAATTCAGGACTGGATTCTCCTGACCACTGCATTGGCCCCCACCTGGGAATTGCTGAAACATATGCTGTTGATGAGGAAGGTGCTATACCTTCACTGCCCTTTCTTAGATTTCAGGCCCATGCCATCCTGTCATGAACAGTTGTACAAGCAAGGGTACCAGTGAGGCACACCTGGGCAGTGGTCTGTTCACATCTGGGATGTACCTGCTCTCATCCTGACTTCACAGGTATGATATGAGAAGACTGGAAAGCATTATTAAGTGTTGCCTCTTGGTGGTAAAATAATGGATTGTTTGAAAACTTTTTGTAATTTCTTATATTTTCAAAATATCGACTATGCATACATTGCTATTTCAGTAGTCCCGCCCTTATCCAAGGAGGATACATTTCAAGACAACCAGTGGATGCCTGTAACCGTAGATAGTACCAAACTTGATTGCTGTCATTCGGAACATGTTTCTGTCTTTCATGCATAAATTTAATGCCTTTTCCTTCTCAATTGAGCTCTTATCATGCTCTGTGGCTATAACTTTTGCAGTTTGAGGTGAGACAGCACAAATATCTTTTTTCCTCTTCACAATTTCATGCATAAAAGATTCATTCTTACTATGGATTTTAGCAATGTCAGCATACCCTTTTTTTTCCTCTCCTTATGAAGTTGAGAACTTTCACCTTTTCACTTAAAGGAAACACTTTACAGCTTCTCTTTGGCATATTTGAATTGCCAGCATCGCTACTCTTGTGCTTTGGGGCCATTACTAAGTAAAGTAGGCATTACTTGAACGCAAGCACCTTGATACCCTGACAGTAACCATGGCGGCTACTAAGCGACTAACAGGCGGGGGTAGCATATACAGCTTGAATATACTGGACAAGGATGATTTCATATCCTAGGTGGGACAGACTGGGACAGCACAAGATTTCATCATGCTACTCACAACAGTGCACAATTTGAAGCTTATGAATTATTTCTGGAATTTTCCATTTAATATTTTCAGACTGTGGTCAACTGTGGGTAAGTGAAACTGCAGAAAGTGAAACCACAGATGGGGGACTACTGTATAATAGGAAGCTTAATTTTTTTCTGATCGCTCATAATTCTAGAACACTCATTCATTTTTAATGACAGCTTTATTGCAGCTAGGGCAGTAGATAGTTCTTACTAAAACAACAGTATGTCACTGAAGGGTGGTAAGTGAATAGAGGCTGCTTTTAGAGACACTAAAAGACATTGTTAAGCTGGAGTGGTGATTGTGCTATGATCATTATTGATTTGTTTCTTTTTAAAATCTCAGTTTCTTGAAGGGTGTTGACAATAATTCTATTAAATATTAAATTTTAGTGTATATTGCCAACCAAAAAAGGTTGAGGATTGCTGCTATAAGAGTGATAAAGTAAGGAACAAATAGGGAGGGGGAAAGGAGGGCATAAAATCATGTATTCAATCCTTCATTCATTAGTATTTGTTATATAAATGGTGTAAATTTCTTAGGAAAATAAACAGGCAAAAGGAACCCCAAGTCTGCTCATGAGGAGTTAATTGCTATGGAAAATAAATTGTGCTCCTGCTGTTAACAACTAATAAATAGACAAATACTTAAACAACTCTTTTTAGACATTGGGCAACAGGCAGTGTAGTACTGCAGTCCCTGAGGGAAGTAAAACAAGGTGAGCCCTATAATTGCCCCCACTTAGTGCTGGGGGGAGTTTCCAGGCCACATTGCAGGGAAGGGGGAATCCAAACAAATTTCAGATTTCTGTGTTGGTGAGATTAAAATCAGAATTCAGGGAGACCAAAGAGGCTGGAATTTATAAGGAGAACACCAAAGGGAGGGTGCTGTACAGAAGATGTTAAGAAATCTGAAGAAAGGTCACCTTAAGTCTTTGATTAGTGATCTTCTCAAGCATGAGAGGAAACTAAGACTGGGAACAGACTCACGAGAACAGTAGGCTGAACAATTTCTGGGGCTTACACAGAACTGGGAATATTTCATGTTACCGCAACCCAGATGGAGAGACACTATATTAGATAGGGATTGGGTAGAGTCTGAAGAAGTGTCATGCCTTAGTAGTGGAGATAAATTATTCCCATAATAAAAGCTGCCCTGGACCTGAAAGAATCAAATGGATCAACGATTTACTGAAAAATGTGCCAGGAAAAAAAATTGCAACATTCTTTACAGGACTACATCAAAATCTAGCTCTCAGCAATGTGAAATTCATAGTGTTCAGTATCCAATATAAAATTATCAGACATGAAAAGATATAGGAAAACACGATCCATGTCCAAGAGGAAAATCAACCAACAGGAACAGTCCCAGAAATGACAGATCATAGAATTAATAGGAAAGGATCTTAAAGCAGCTATTATAAATCTTACAAATATGCTCAAGGATGTAAGGGAAGAAACATGAATGTGATGAGGCTAGAAATGGAAGATATAGAAAATGGGCACAAATGTAACTTCTAGAAATGAAAAATACAATATTCCAAAAAAAAATATGATAGATGGTATTTGCAGCAGCTTAGACACTTCAGAAGATCACTGAACTTGAAGACAGAGCAATAGAGACTATCCAAATTAGTCACAGGGAAAAAAAAAGACTAAAAAAATAAAAACACTGAACAGAATCTCAGGGACCTTGGGAAAATATGAAGTGATCTAATACATATAATTGTCATCCCAGGAAAGACCTAGGGGGTAGAAGGCAGAAAGAATATTTGAAAAATAATGGCTGAATATTTTCTAAATTTGACAAAATCTGTAAACCTGCAGATTCAGGAAGCTGTAGGCAATATCAACAGTGAACTCTCGCAGAGTTCCTACTATAAGCAGCACAAACAACGTACTTGAGACTTGAGGTCATAGGACTTGGTAGATCTTAGCCTTCACCCACATGATTTCTCAGTCTATCCTGCAGATGGAACAGAACCCAGTCACCACGATTATTATAACAGCAATGTGGAATGATACCTACAAATGCTGTATGTTGCTCTTTCAGGTGCTCAGAAGAACAGTAGAGGTAGAAGTTTTCATCAAACAAATGGATCATGTTCCAGAACTTTGCTGACATGGACAACTCTGCAGAGAAAGACAAACGTACCAGCAAACTTCCCAGACGTGCCAACAAAGTACAGAAAGGTCTAGTGAACTTAAGTAACGTGTCTTTTTGGGGAGGACAGAGTTCCTGATATATGTTCATTTTAGTACATGAGAATAAATTTGGGGCATATGGAATATATATTATGCCTCAATTTAAAGAAGTATTAAAGAAGAAGAGAATATAGTAAATCCTGGGTTATATCCATAAGGCCATGCTTAAGGCATATCAGATGGATTCAAGTGTGATGATTGGGAAGAAACTGCAAAGAGAGGATGAGGGGGAAGGAGGGAGCTCTTCAACAAAAAAAAGCAGACTTGTTATTTCCATGTATCTGGTAAGAATCTCAGTCCTCAGATTTAGATGAGTAAGAGATCTTTCTTTATTTTCTAAAACTCAACTTGAGTTCTGGCCATAAGCCCGCATTCTGCTGGGTTGTTGGAAAGGGTAACTCCAGCCATTATCAGTATATATCCTATCTTCTCATTTCAAGTTTGGATTTTTCCCAGTAGAAAGAAGTGATGTGATGGTGGGAGGCTGGGGGTGGGGAGGAAGGAGTACTCAGGTCATAAGCCAACCATCCACACTGGTGAAATCTCCACTGCTCCAGTCCACGTGCTCCCTTTGGTTTTGCTGGTCCACACCCGCAGTTTAGGAATCACTGCTGAGGCTGGAAACCTCATTTTGAGATCCCTGCAGGCCCCACCACTTTTTCTTTCCGGGTATTACCACCAGGGGGCGCGCTGCCAGAGTCACTGCTGCTCTCAAACCCAGAGATGGATCTCTCTTCCTCCCATCCTCTGATTTTTTTTTTTTTTTTATTTCAGCATATTTTGGGGTATAGATGTTTAGGTTACATATGTTCCCATCCTCTGATTTTGCACTCTCTTCTCATTTAATATTTCTTTAAATTGAATCACAGCACATATTCAGGAAAAGTACACAAATTATAATTGTATAGCTTAATGAATATTCACAAAGAAAATGCCACCTATGGAATCACTTTTCAGGCCAACACATACAGTGTCAACAGCATCTCGGAAGCCCTTGGCTTGTCCCTCCCCAGATGTTATCACCCTTTTTTGTGTAAACGCTACGGTTATCTTGACGTCTCATGTCATTAATAACTTTAGTCTGTGTTTGAACTTCATATAAATTTGAATTATGCAGTATGAACTCTTTTCTCTCAGGCTTTTTTTCACTTATGTTTGAGAGATTTCACTTCATATTGTTTCATGTATCAGTAATTTGCTCATTTTATTGGTATTGTTTCAATATATGACAATTTATTCTGTTGAAGGACGTTTAGGTTGTTTCAAGTTTTTGGCTATTGTAAATAAAAGCTTCTATAACTATTCTTGCACATATCTTTTAGGAAATGTATTTTATGTATGTCTTGGGTCTAGACCAAAGGAGTATAATTGCTAGGTCATAGGGTATATTTAAGATAAACTTGGTTGATACTACCAAACAATTTTCCAAAATGATTGTGCTAATTTAATCCTTACAAGCAATGTATGAGAATTTCAGCTCAGAATAGTTTTAATTTGCATTGGCCTTTGATCAATGAGATTGAGCACTTTTTCATATGCCAGCTGGCCTTTTGGATATTCGCTTTGGAGATGTGATTGTTCAAATTTTTTGTACATTTTTTTCTACTGGGTTTTTCTTATTTATAGGAGTTCCTTAAACCATTCAGTTCTTGTCTTATTTATAAAGTTTCTTTAAACCATACTAGAAATGAGTCATTTGTTGACTACAGGTAAATATCTTCCCACAGTCTGTGATTTTCTTTTCTGCTCTTCTAATGTTGTGTTAATAAGCAGAAGCTCTTAATACAGCCCAATTTATCTTTTCTTTATGGTTAGTGTATATATCTGTCCTATTTAAGAAATCTTTCCTCATCCCAAGATAATTTCTTCTAGAAACTATATTATTTTACCTGTTACATCTAGGTCTACAATTCACTTGGAATTGTTTTCGTATATGGTATGAAGATGTTGCCCACTCTGTTATAATATTTTCCACATGTATATCGAATTGACCCACAACCATTTATTGAAAGGCCATTTTTTCTCTACTACTCTGTATTGCTGTTGTTATCTTTGTCATAAATTAAGTGTCCATGTATATGTAGGTCTGCTTCTGGATTCTCTATTCTGTTCAAATATCATACTGTCTTAATCACTTTAACTTTATAACAAGTCTTTAGTAGTATAAGTTCTTCAATCTCTTTGTGCTTCTTTGTTTATGTTGGCTGTTCTTGGCCCCATTGCTTTTCCATATAAATTTACTTTTTTATGTTTAATTTTTATGGATATATAATAGTTGTACATATTTATGGGGTACATGTAATATTTTGATATAAGCAGAAAATGTGTAGTGATCAAATCTGGATAGCCATATGAATTTTACAATCAGCTTATTAATGTCTTTAAAAATCATTACTCTCATTTTAAGTTGGATTGCATTGATTCTAGGAATCAACTTAAGGATAATTTACATCTTTATTATATTAAGTTCTTCAATCCTTTTATATCCTTTATTTTATTTAAGTTGTCTTAAATTGTTCTCAGTATTTTATAGTTTTCTATGTAGAAGTCTTGCATATCTTCATTATGTCTATTCTAGACATTTGATTTTTATGCTGTTATAAATGGTAATATTTTAATTTCATTTTTAATTTGTTGCTGATATAGAAATAAAATGAATTGATTTTTGTATATTGACCTTGATTCTAGTGACCTTGTTAAATTCAACTATTACCTCTTATAGGTTATCTATAAATTTCTTTTGAAATTTCTCCATATATAATCTTGTAATATGAATAATAACAAATGTATTTGTTCCTTTCTGATCTGTACATTTTTATATATTTATATAGACTTCTGTACTGGCTAGAGACCTTCAGTACAGTGTTGCCTACAAGGATGATACCAGTTGTGCTAGTTTCACTCCCTGTCTCAGGGGAAAGCTTTTAATATTTTACTGTTTAGTGTCATGTTTGCTGCAGGCTTTTGTTATGGATACCTTTTATCAGATCAACAAAGTTTGCTTCTATTCCTAGTTTGTTAGGTTTTTTTTTAATCATAAAAGGATATTAGTTTTTATGAAATGCTTTTTATCTATCTACTAAACAGTTAATTCACCAAAAAATAATAATAGGCCAGGCGCGGTGGCTCACTCCTGTAATCCTAGCACTCTGGGAGGCCGAGGTGGGTGGATTGTTTGAGCTCAGGAGTTCGAAACCAGCCTGAGCAAGAGCGAGACCCCGTCTCTACTGAAAATAGAAACAAATTAATCAGACAACTAAAAATATATAGAAAAAATTAGCCGGGCATGGTGGCGCGTGCCTGTAGTCCCAGCTACTTGGGAGGCTGAAGCAGGAGGATTGCTTGAGCCCAGGAGCTCACATCTTAGCTATGAGCTAAGATGACGCCACGGCACTCTAGTCCAGGCAACACAGTGAGACTCTGTCTCAAAAAAAAAAAAAAAATAAAATAATAATAATAATAAAAGATATACAGACAGCAAATAGCATATGAAGAGATATTCGGCATCATTAGTCTTTAGGGAAATAAAAGTTAAAACCACAATGAGATACCATTACATACCTAATGGGATGGCTGAGATTCAAAAGACTGCCTGCTGTTGAGGATGTGAAATAATAGAACTCTCATGCACTAATAGTGGGGATGTACAAAGATAAAACAACTTTAAAAAACAGTTTGTCAGTTTCTTAAAAAGTTAAACATATGATCTAGCCATTCCACTCCTAGGTATTTACCCCAAAGAAATTCAAAGACTTATAGTCAGATGCTCATAGCAGCTTTATTTGTAACACCTGAAAACCGGCAGCAACTTAAATTTCCATCAACAGTGGATAAATAGTTGTCACATTTTTATACAATGGAATGCTACTCAGCAATAAAAAGCAATGGAGAGATGAATCCCATAATAATTATGCTGACTGAAAAAAGCCAGACAAAAAAAGAGTACATACTGTAGGTATATGATTCTATTCTGGTCTGTTGAGATGATCATATGATTTTTCTTTTTTAGTTAGTTGATATGGTGAATTACATTGATTTTCAAATGACAAGCTATCTTTGCATTGCCTTATCATGATGTTAAACTATCTTTGCATTTGGTCATGATATATTATTTTTTTTTACATATTGCTGGATTTGATTTGTTAAAATTTTTCTAAGAATTTCTGTGTTGACGTTTATGAGGGCTATTTATCTGTAGTGGGCCTTGTAATGACTGTCTAGTTTTGGTATTTGGATAATTCTGGCCTCATAGATTGAGTTAGGAAATGTCTCTTCCTCTTCAATTTTCTGGCATGTTTTGTACAGAATTGATGACTATTCTATAAATGTCAAGTAGGCAAAGTTAGGTAACAGTATTGTTCAAGTCTCATATATCTTTACTTATCTTTCTACCTATTTAAATTATTGAGGGAGAGATTTTGAAATCTCTGACTATAATTGTGGAATTTTCTATTTTTTTTCTTGCAGTTCTATCACTTTCCGCTTCCTATTTTGAATCTCTTCTTGTTGGGTATATTAGCATTTAGGACTGTTATGTTCCCTTGGGGAATTGACCACTGATAATAACCCCATTATGAAATGACCTTCTTTATTGCAGTTAATATTTTTTTTCTTAAATCTTTATCTGATATTAATATCTAGCTTTCTTTTGATTAGCATTAGCATAGTAAATCTTTTTCCATTCTTTTACTTTGAAATTATTTCTGAGTTTATATTTAAAGTATGTTTCTTGTAGGTAGCATATAGTTGGGTCTTTGTTATCCAACCTGATAGTCTCTGTCTTTTAATTGGAATATTTAGACTGTTTACATTTAATATGATTATTGGTGTGTAAATTTAAGTCTATCATTTTAAGATTTGCTTTCTGTATGTCCCATCAGTTCTTTGTTTACTTTTTTCTGTCTTTTGTATTGAGTATTTTTTATACTTCCATTTTATCTCTTTGGTTAGCTTATTAGTAATAACTCTTTGTAGTGTTTTCCTAGTGG